CCTGTCTGACAACGGTGCTAATAAGTAGTTGGATTCGTTCATATATATGATAATAATTTATATATATATATATATATATATATATATATATATATATATATATACATAAATTATTCTTTACGAATGATACGTAAATACGAATAAGTATGTATACTTTATATACGAGATAATAATCGAATTTTCGAATGACCCAGTAATGATAGTTCGGACAATGTATCTACTTCTTTATAATGGAATCTTTTGAATAATTTATATATCCGCTTAAGGTCATACCCGACACGCGATTTCGATCCTAAGAGAAATCGATCATACGGAAGTCCAAATTTATAACACGATCACGAGCATTTTCCTTTATGACGTAAAGCTTAGCCAGGAAATCGATCGTTTCCTCTTTATTTGAATTCATAAAGGCCATCCCCCATCGTTTTTACTTTCTTTATGAATCGTTTCTCTCAACGTACTACCATTATATTTATCGATTGATTTAACACGATTCCTTACTCTTTTTTTTCTTTTCTCTTCTTTTTCTTCTCTCTCTCTCTCTCTCTCTCTCTCTCTCTCTCTTTCTCTCTCTTTCCTTCTCTCTTTACGCTCGATTTAAGATCATTCTTCTTATTCGTAAGAAAAATTTATCGTTTATAATGGATTACCAGTAATATATAATGCGGTTTACTATCATTATTCAACGGATTTCTCGATGTCTTTTGGCATGGCTCCGTTGAATATTTATCTCCATTGCCAGTCTTTATTATTCATGATTTTACCCGGATGAAACTCGCCCTCGACGATTTCTGGAATTAGCCAAGCTAATTTTCGTACCGTAGACCTTGTTCATTCAGAAACTCGTTAAAATTGAAATTCAACCGAGTTCGTTATGATCTTGTTGATCAAACGACGACTATGATGCAACGGTATTACAATCTCTTTGTATTCTTAAATTCTTTGGGATAAAGGATTAAATATTTTCATTAAACATTTTTATAATAATTAAACAAATATATTTTCAATACGTTATATCTTTCTTTTTTCTTTTCTTTTTTTTTTTCATTAAATGAAAATGTACTTTTAGAAAAAGAAAATTCATTCGCAGTATATATTATGCTTGAATAAATTCAAAATTGTTAATTACGAGTTGTAATGTAATTTAAAAGTGACTTTAATATTATAATTAAAAAAAAAAAAAAAGAAAAAAAAAAAAAGGAAAAAAGAAAAATAAAATAAGAAAAAAAAGAAGAAAAAAAGAAAGGAAGAAAAAACACGATGTCCCGTTTAAAAATGTCAAAATGATCTTGCTGATTTTATCGAAAAAAAAACCAAAAATTGTTTTGCCAATTATTATTATTATTATTATTATTATTATTATTATTATTATTATTATTATTATTATTATTATTATTATTATGACTTATCGCTGATTAGAAACTGTTAAATTTTTCTACGTGACTATTCATTTTTCGGATTGTGTTGTGACAACTGCCTTAAAAGATCATAATTATGGTTACGAAAACCACTCTCTATACATTATTTATATATTCTTAATGAATTTTTTTTTCTACATACATTTTACTATACATTAAGATTTTACACACACACACACATATACACATATATGTAAATAGCGTCGTATTTTTATAAAAAGAAGAGTATAAAAGGATTCTTGAAAAAAAAAAAAAGAAAAAAGAAAGGTAAACGAAACGTCGAGATCAAAGGAAAAAGAAAAAAATGTAAATATGCAAAAGAGGAAGAACGGTTTCTCTTTTTTTATTTTTTTTTATAAGTTTTTTTTTCTTTTTTTTTTTTTTTTTTTTTGACAAACCAGACAATGCCGTTTATTTATTTCCGATCGTTTCGATAAAGTCGACGTATTTCGCAATAATGAGAGCATATATACTAACCGTTGACACATAGAACCATTCCATCTTTGCATTTATGGCGTTCTGTGGTTAACATAAATGATCTTTGATCTGCCCATTCCTATTCCATCTTTTTTTCATACCATAAGATTTATCGCATCGATTAATATATAATCCATTCTTTCTACTATTTTTTTTTCCCTCGTCCCTCTCTCCCCTCCCTTACTCATATCTATCACAATCTGACTCATGATATTCTCTTTGCGTCAAACATTTTAATTACGAATTTAATAAGACCTACTATTTCTGATCAAAGTTTTTTGTTATAGGATCAATGTACATATGCTTAAACGAATATATGAGGAGAATTCCTGATTAGGAAACAAACAAAGAAAAATATCAAAGATAATCATTTGCAGAAGAGATTTATTACTTTGATACCATGACATTGATCCTTTGTCAACATCTACATTACGTAAAATATATTTTTTTTGCATAGCAATAAGCCGAAAAGATATTTAGATGGTTTTACTTAAATATATATATATATATATATATATATATATATATATATATATATATTTAAATAAAAATCTTTTATACATACATACATACGTGCATATACACATACATATACTATATTTTATTGATCTAAAAAGAAGAAGAAGAAGAAGAAAAAAAAGAACAAATAATAGGCCATTATCCTCTAAATTTTCCATTACTTCTTTTTTTGTTTTCACGTTACATTTATTTGTATATAAGAGAAAATCATCTTTCCTCTCCTCGGAGATCCTAAAGGAGGACTCGGATCTGAGCTCGATCAAGCTCGCTGGGTCAAGGATAGGCAGGATGTGACGTCACGGGCTGCGAGAAGATCGATATCCTCTTGCCGGCTCGTTCGTGTGCTGCCGTCACCGTCGACAAACGCACTATCTCCCCTCTCTTTACTGACCTTACTACCAAGGCAAATTCTATCCTTATTCGAAAGTATTATTCTCTCTTTCTCTCTCTCTCTCTCTCTCTCTCTGTCTTTTTATCTTTCTCTCTTTTTCGTCTTTGAGAAAATCACGTTCGAACGCTCTGTAAAAGGGCTCTTTTGCTACCGATTTCATCCAATACAATGGCTCCCAGTCGTCTCTATCCTTCTTTCGTTATTTTTCATTCTTTTTTTCTTCTTTCTTTTCGAATATCCTTTTGCTTCTTCCTTTCGAAAAGAATTCTTTCCTAATGAAAAGCTCGAGCTTTCTTAAAACCCACTCTCTCACCTCCATCTTCAACGCTTTCGATACAACGGATACAATGCGTCCATTGTATGTTTGTGTGGAGATAACATGTAAATATTACTACTACTTACTACTACTACTATTACTACTACTACTAATACTACTACTACTACTACTACTATTACTACTACTACTACTACTACTACTACTACTATTACTGTTACTGCTACTGCTGCTGCTATTAGTACTATTATTGCTGCTGCTACTTCTGCTACTATCTAATTTTTTTTTCTAATTCTCTAGAATTGTTTAATTCATGAAAAGACGCTCGAAAAACAAATCTTAATTTTTTCTTAAAATCTTAAATTTAAATATTTATTAACTTAGATTACGTATATACTTAATACAATTATTATACAGAATATTGATCTAAATTTCGTATGGGAATTTTAAATAGTAATTAATTTTTAAAATCAATTATTACATCTTTTCCTTTTCCTAAATCCTTTAGGTTAATATCTTTTTGCTTTTCTTTTTCTTTTTCTATTCCTTTTTTTTTTTTTTTTTTTTTTTTTTAATCCAATCAAACAATACTTGACTTGTAAAAAGAACAGAAAAAGAAAAGAAAAAAAAAAAGAAACTATATGTCTAAGTACAAGATCTAAAAGGGGTCATGGAAAAGGATAATTTGATGTTTAATATCACTTAGGAAGTTTTGATGTATCTAGGAACTTTTGAATGATCCTCTATATACGGGATTTAATCTTTTCGATATAACGGAGTAAACGGTATATAAAATACTTATACAATACTTACTATAGTATCTATGTATAGCAATAAAGGAATACATCGTGAAAGGAAGAAAAGTCCTGTACATTTTTCTCTACGAAAGGGATATATATATATATATATATATATATATATATATATATATATATATATGTTCCCGGTGGATTTCAACAGTAAACGTTGGACTATCTCAACCATAATCTTCGAATCGTCCTGGAAGCTTAGACATCCTCACCGGACTGAAGGATGTCCCAGATCTAAGAATATTTCATAGTTACGTACATTCCTTCCACGAAGGGAGAGTGTATTATCTTCGTATTTCATTTCTTATAGAAATATTTTCGAATAGAATGAACGTGTATATCCTATTAATCATTAATTATCGTATAATTATTTTCTTTCTTTCTTCCTTTTTTTTTTCTTTTTTTTTTTTAATTTTTTTTTTTTTGTTTCTTTTTCCTTCAAGACCGTTCCAATACACAGCGTCGTTTCGTACGACGTAATAGAATTTAATCTTAGATTAATTCTTAACTGTAATCTCGGTAAGCTTATCTCAGCTTTATCTCGATTAAGGATTTTAAAGATCAGTAAATTTAACGTATGTTTTATTCATGTTAACTGATGTTAATTCAAGGAAAGAAAATTCGAAAATAACGAAATTATTCTATCGGATATGCTATTGACTTCTATGATTTTTCTTCCTTCGAAAACCATTTCCAATCATTTTCTGTTCGGGGTTTTCCTTTTTTTTTTTCTTTCTCCTTTCTCTCTCTCTCTCTTTCTTTCTCTCTTCTATTTTTCAAATATAATTCTATTTCGAAAATAAATCTCACGTACGAATACGAACAATTTTGTTCCTCAATTACGTCCAATTCTTTCAATTCTTTTCTTCCTTTTTTTCTTTTTTCTTTTTTTTTTTTTTAGAACTATAATAAATTCGTAAGACGAATTTCGTTTCATTTTCAATCGTGCATATTCTATTATTACTTCGTGAAGGATTATAAATTTGTATATTTTTTTTTTCTTGTTAAAAATCATAAAAATTTTAACGTTTATTGCAGAGACATTTCTTTATTTTTTTTTTTTTTTTTTTTTTTTTCAATAAATAAAGAACAAAATGTTTCCTTCGAAATAGATGCTGAAATCCTGTAGGACTTTGAGTATGACGGTACGTGGACCGGCATTAGATCCCCGTTGCAGAGTTGGTCATCCTGTTTGGCCATCTTCGGGTCGTCAACAATCCTGCAGTTGGATGGACCGTCAAGGAAGACCAGCTTCTCCGCCACCTTTTTATTCCTCCCGAGATTCCCGATATGGACCACGAACGCGAAAGGTCGAACTATGCATCGAACCAGGCCAATCCCTTGGTCTTATGATCAGAGGTGGTCTCGAATATGGCCTTGGAATATATGTCACTGGAGTAGACAAGGATAGTGTCGCCGATCGTGCTGGACTTCTGGCGAGTAACTCTGCTATTTTTATATTTTATCACTTCTTCCTTTTTTCTACTAGATTATATATATTGTAAAAATAAAATATATATATATATATGTATATTGCTATATTATGTAGATACATATAAATATATATATATTGCTATATATATATTGCTATATTATGTAGATACATATAAATATATATATATATATATATTTATATTATTATAAGTCTAATATACTTATATTACTATGTTATATAATAATTATTATATATTATTTTATAAATGATTATATTTTAAATGATTTTATATTGTTAATATAGTAACATTATAATTGTAAATATTATATATTAAATATATTTACCATTATATATGTATATATTACTATCATAGTAATATTAGTATTTTACTATATAATATGTATATATATATATATATATATGTATATATATATATATATATATGTATATATATATATATATATATTATATATGTATTAGTATATTGTACATTATATGTATATAGTTATATATTATTTAATTTTTATATATCGTTTAATTTCTATCAGAAGAATTCTTTTTTCAATAGATATTTAAAATATAATTCAAAAGTATGACAGAAATTATGTGAAAATATTCAATAAATTTTATCATTTAAATCCGAGATATGGTTATATTGAAAAATCATCCGAGATTGTTTCTAAAGTATTGTTAGGGGATTTGCTATGCTGATAAACGAACGGTTATAAATATTAAGCTGCTTGTTCACGGAGCTCCATCGATTTTAGTTGATATCGAATTTCGTTATTGCCAATATGAATATACTTCCCTTTTTTTTTTCTTTTTTTTTTTCTTTCTTTCTTTTTATGTAGAATAACATCTCAAATGTATGCTTCGTATATAAAAAAAAACTCGCGTGGGTTATCGGGATTTTATTCTGAGAATAGCCGATAGCAACGAAAGGAAAAAAAAAGAGGAAAAAAAGAAACGAATACGACGCATACATTTTATGCGAAAATTTCACGTATACCTGTTTATGTAATATATTCTGAGAATTTTCTGTTTATTAATTCTCATGGATAGGTCGGAGATCAGATTATAGAGGTCAATGGACAAAATTTCGAGGAAGCCACACACGATGAGGCAGTACAGATATTAAAAACAAACAAGAGAATGAGTTTATTGATACGAGACGTAGGAAAGGTACCTCATTCGTGTACTACCAGTCAACCAATTGTGATGCCAACTTCGAGATATCCTGAACACGATCCTCTCATTCTCGAAAGTCCTGGAAATCATCGGCCGCCTAGTCCTGCGTAAGAAAAATTCATATATAAATTCATATATAAATTTATATATAAATTCATATATAAATTCATATATTTCGTTAGCTTAGTTATGAAAAACGAAAGAAATTTAATCAAGTGTCTAACAACGATATTTTTATATACATACATTTTTAATACGTATATATAATATATTGTAATACGTAAAAATCTTTTGAAGAAAGAAATAAAATATCTCATTCTTTCTTTCTAAATATATCAATGAATATTAAAATAATATTTTTTTTTAATTATTTAATAAAATATAAAATTTTTATGATTTCCTTGAGATATCTTTATAATCGTTCGCATGATTTATTTATACGTTCTTCAATATTTATTCGAGGCAATGATTTTTATTGGTTTATTGTATAAATGAAATAAAGAAAAGATCGATAAATGGACGCTCACGTAATACCAACGATAACCCAATTTTATGTCTACAAAAAAATGTACATAAAGAAAATTATATACTGTAATATTTGTAATATTATAGCTCATTCTCAAGACATTATAGTTATAGTCTAACTTAGTATAGTTACATTTAATTATAACATAACTTATTACCAAGGAATATGATTTATAGAGATACATAATTATTATTTAATCACAATATAACTTATATTAATATAACTATACTATATTAATAGTAAGTAAAAATTATAACTTAAATAAATATTATATCCTTTCTAGGAATAATTAATTAACAATTAATTTATTAATTTCTCCGACGGAACAAATATAAAATGTCTTATAAAAGATACTTAAGTATATTAATGTCAAACTTTGAATCGCGTTACAAAAGAAGAAGAAACAAGAAAGAAAAAAAAGAAAAAAATTAAAAAAAAAGAACAAAGAAAAAAAGGGAAAAAAGAAATTCAAATTAAATAAAAAAAAAAAAAAAAAAAAAAAAAAAGTAGAAAAGAAAAACAAATTGAGTTTAATAAAAATCTAATTTAATGATTTAAATTTTATATTAAATATCGAAACGTAATAAAATAATTTTAAGATTAAAACGTTTTTCAAGAAGCAGTACGAACGAATGGAGACATCGTGGTGGAATTCACACGGTTTCTGCGGCTACAGCAGCTATGGTTGAAGAAAAGGCAAGGGTTGTACTAGCGAGAAGTGAAAGGGCCGCGCTCTCCCAACTTCTCGCCGATTATAGAACGCGAAGGCTGACGGTCGAGGAGCTGGTTGCGAATCTTGCCGATCTTTTGAATACCCATGAAAAATTGACGCTTCTAACGGAACTCAGAGAACTCGTTGATAGCAAGGATAGAGCTGCTTTCGATAATTTAGTTTACAGACCACGCATCGCCATGGCCAGGGTGAGTTTCTTAAATCGTTAACGAAACAAAAGAAAGAGAACAACAACGAAAAGAAAAAAAAAGAAAAAAAAAAAGACAAAGACAAAAATCATTTATTATAATTAAGAACAATGATATGAAAGAGAAAAAATCTTTCGAAAGAGTTCGAAACGTCGATTGCTCGAAAGTTATTATTTTGCTTTTTCTTTATCCGTTTTTGTTTTTTTTTTCTTTGTTTTTCTTTTTTTTTCATTTCTTTCTTTCTTTCTTTCTTTTTTCTTTTCTTTTTTTTTCTCTTTTTTTTTTTTTTTTTATTATAGAAAAAAGGAGATTGGATTCATTCAGATCTAATAGTTATACCGTCACTCCACGATCTTCCGGTAAGTAATAAAATATATCATTTATATACAAATGATATATTATTATTTATGTGATTATAGTCTCACTGCATATATACACACATACACACATATATTCACATGTAACGTAGTTCTTACACACACGATATATTATATATATATATGATTATTATTATTATTAACTGTTGTTGTTGTTGTCGTTATTATTATTATTATTATTATTATTATTATTATTATTATTATTATTTTTCTTTTTTTTTTCTTTTCTTTATATTTTGAAATATTATTACACCTCTATGCGTACATAGAACAGTCTTTGTCTCTTCTTGCGCAATTCTCTATGTCCTCTGTTATTTTTTATATGACTGATTAGATCTGTAATTGTGTGTATGTAATCCGTATTTATATTTATACTTATATATATATATATATATATATATATATATATATATTATATATATAAGTACTTACAAATACATACACACAATTATATATACATTATACAGGATGTTTCGCAGAATTGACTAGTTCCGTTGTATTTCTTTTCAAGAGATATTTTTTATCATTATGAAAAGAGACGAGTTTCGATTGAAAGGTATCGCCATTGATATGAAAACAAAAAAAAAGAAAAAAGAAAAAAAAAAGAAAAAAGAAAAAAAAGAAAAGAAAAAGAAAGAAATAAAATAAAATAAAATAATATATAAAGAAAAATGGAAAGAGAAAAAAAATGAAAGAAAGATCCTGTATAGAAGTTTTGAACGTTTTCTTTTTTTTTTTTTTTTTTTCTTCTTCTTCTTTCAAAGAGTATTTCTCTTCGAATTTCATTCCTACTTGAAGTATTTTTCACGTCGATAATAATCTTCACGGGGAAAAGAAAAAATTCGTATGAGAAACTTCTCGACGTACGTACATAAATATTTATTATTGGTATGCTCGATCCTCTTCTTTCTTCTTTTATTCGCGTTTAACTATCTAACATTCCTCTAACATAAAAGTATGCGAACGAAAGGAGAGAAAAAAAAGATGCTCCAAAGTAGCAAGCAGAGAAAAATAGAAGAAGAAGAAGCGAAAGAAGAAGAAGAAAAAGAAGAAGAAGAAGAAGAAGAAGAAGAATAAGAAGAAGTGAAAAAGGAAGAAGAATTTTCTCGACGATAAAAAATGATCAAGAAAATATGCTGCTGTTATTGCCGTTGGTCGGAAAGAAAAAAAGGACGTGAACAACGACGACGATTCGTTGGAGGGGGTTTGCGAGGAACGACGGAGAAGTTGTCACCAATTTAACGGGAAGATTTTTCGAGTGAGAATGAAAAAGGAAAAAAAGAAGGACGAAAGAAAGAAAAAAAGGAAAGGAAGGAGAAGAACGAAAAGACAAAGAAAGAAAAAAAAAAGAAAAAGAAAAAGAAAAAGAATATTAAGTCGTTTGAAAAATCTCATTAAGAGATGACACGAAGATATTCACGCTTGAACGTTAGTTAGCCT